GCCCCTCCCCGGCCCGCCCCCGGCCCCGCCCCAGCCCCGAGCCGCCCCTCCTTCCCCGCGGTCTCTGCTCTGGGGCCCCCGCCCAGGGCCGCGAGCCTGGCATCTCGGAGCAGCCCTGCTCCCGTGGACAGGCGTCGACCGAGCCCCGCGCGCCGAGCCACACCAGAGTCCCAGCAGGTGGCCGCCTGTCAGCCTCTCGGCTGAAGCCTGGGTGAGGACACCGGGAGCGCCTTTCGGCTCGCCCCAGTTACTTTGAAACCGAAAACGTCGCTGCGGCTTCAGCTCGGTGCGGGGCCGCGGCGGCCGCTGGCCTGGCCGCCCTCCGGGCTGGTGTCGGGCCGGGCCGGGCCGGGCCGAGCTGGGACAGAGGCGGTGGGATCCGCGTCCTAGGCGCGGGAGGCCGGCGGGGCAAGTGGCCGAGTGGGTGCGGTGTGGAGCGGGTTTTCTTAGCAGGGGGGTGTGGCAAGGACGGAGACTGGGGGTTCCCGAGCTGGGGAGCTGTTCCAGAGTGGCTGAGGGCTGGAGAAGCCAGGTTCAGGTGGGGGTGCTCTGGCAGGGTGGGACTTGCAGGCACACCCCAGCCCCTCCACTCCCTTAGCCCTCCCTCCACTTCTGCAAGACTTTCCGAGCTGAGTTCCCCTCCAGAGGGAACCGTTAATATTGCCATGAATGGAAACCTCCACCAGTTCCATTGCACAGCACCCCCCCCTCCCCAGAAGGTGAGTTCTAAGCGGTCTTGAAGCAAAAAAACAAGGGTCCCGGCGGTGAAATGAGTTGTTCAGGGGCACCCAGACAAATCGTGGAATTACCAGGACGTGTCCTCCCTCGGCACCCCATCCCCGCCCGCCATTATGGCTCTGCAGGGTTTTGGCAGTTGTGAGAACTCTCGGTGAAGATCAGGGCCAAGCTCTTGCTGCTGGTCGCGCAGGGCCGCTCAGGTCTACTTTTTCTTTCTTTCTTTCTCGGCTGTTCTGCTCCCTCCAGTGGTTTCCATATTTGGCTATTTCAGATTTACTTTCGTGAGAACTCGGTTATCTCGCAGTTGACAGGCAGGACTGCCGGAGGCATGTTGAGGTTAGTGAAATGAGGCAAGGCTCCCTCCCCTGGCTGCCCCCTGCAGCCCCACCCTCCACAGCTCTGGGCTCTGACCCACGTTCTGGGAGAATGGAATCTAGTAAACCAGTTTAAGGCACTAAATCTTTATTGGGCACAGGTGCTGTGTGAGAACTGGACTAGGGCCAATGGATATGTTTCCTTTCTCCAGAGGTACATGCATTTTAAAAGGGGTTTAGAAGACATGAAATGCAAAGAGATTGGCTGAAATACCTCTGGGAATAAAATAGGTCTGGGTGTGTGTGAGAGAGATAAATTTAGACACCAAAAGGCTGGGCTAATGGGTTAAGACCTCTCAGGGCCCAGCATGACTGCCTGCTCTGCTTTACACATACACAAAACCCAAGTCAGGAGCCTTAACATAATTGCTGGTTTGGATGAATATCTGCTGTCTGAACACTCCCACCTCCAACTCCCATCTGAAGAAGAGAGACAGAAATTGCTGCAGGAGAGATGAATGTGAGATGGAAGTGGGAAATGCCTGGCCTTTATAGAGGGTTTTTGTTCTTGTAACTCTAGGAATGGGTCAGCTCTTAGATCTCCATTTATCTCTCATTAGGTAAAAGGCAGGAAAAAGCCTCCTGTCAGAGCCAGCCTCTGGAGAGGAGAAATGAATGGGGAAGGTGACTGGCCTGGGGTATGTGGTAGGTGGGGGAAAGAATAGCAGGCAGCAAGCATCACCTGAGAACTATTGGATGTAGGTAGTAGGACAGTGGAATGAATATGGAAAAGAAGTGGGGGCCCAGCCATGGGAAATATTGTCGTGACTTGGGTGTTTCAGGGGAAATATTTGCAGAGTGGGGGAGCTAGATGCCTCTGAGTCATTCCCATTAGGCTAGCAATGGGAAAGGTGCCTCAGCACTTGAACAAATAAACCTTCTGTGATTATCTCTGCTTTACTAGAGAGGACCATGAAGAAAAAATAATAATAATTTCTTGTTGTAAAACTCATTCCTTTCCAAAGCATTTTTTCATTATTCTTGTCACTTTGTTCTTATTTTGTCCTCCATGACACCCTCATGAGTCAGGCCAGAGCAGGATTATTCTCCACACCTCCCAGATGGTGAGGGGGAAGCACTGAGTATAAATAACACTCAAGCGCTTCTGCTGGATTAGGCTGGGGGCTCTAAGATCTGGTTCTACTGCTCCAGGACCCTCACCCTGGTTTCTCACAGAGCCTCACATCTGCCCATCTCCTCTTCATCTGAGGGGTCAGCAGGGGACCTTGAATCCTGGATGGTCTGTTCCCAGCAACATGAAGTAGATTTTGTTGGAGATTTCCAGAGTTATTACCCGAATAGATACTTCATAGTCAGTTCTGCCAGCCAGGTGAACTCGGGGCAAGACCTGTATCTGTTTTTGTGTGTGTCCTGGAATCTGGCATAGAGTTTGATGAATTGCACTGAATTCATTTAGGATGTGTCTCCCTTGGGCTGCAAGCTGAGAACATGTGAGAACATGGGTAGGGCTTGGGAGAAAGATCTTGAACTGCTAGTAAGACTTGCTTAGATCCCAGGAATCAGTGTAACACTGTACAGTTTACAAATAGCCCATATCATTAGATTAGCTCCTAGTTACTTCCCTGAGAGAAGGGAGAGGCAGGTGCTATTCCTTCCACTGTACCTAGTTGCAAGCTGGGGCTTAGAAGTCATGTGAAAGATCTCGGGTATGAGCAGAACCCAAGTCTTCTGAATGAAATTCCTGTGCTCTTCCCATGGTACTTTGACTAAAGGAATCCAAGATTCTGGGCAGGAAGGAGGTGACAGAACCAGCAAGGCATTCATCAAAAATTGCCAGGTACCTTTGTCACTGGTGGGGGTCTTTAAGAGTTCATAGACCAGGGGGAAGGGGGTTGTGGCAGATTCAATCTCTGAAGAATTTTCTCTGCCCAGGTTGTGGCTTTCCCAGTGTGTCTCTGAGCAGAAGCTCTTGTCTCAGCAGAGCTTCAGCAGAGGAGTACCGGTGTGCATGTGTGTTGGAGGTGGTGGGGGGGACACACTAGGACAGAAATGATCTCTAGGACTGGGGGCATCTGCTGCTACTGCTGCCAGACTTGGACCAACATGAATTTGTTGCTTTGCTAAAAGAAAAGCTTTATTGGAGGGACCCATTTGGCCTCTGGCAAGTCATGTCTTGTGAGGAAGTAGAGTGGAGGACCAGGAGACAAAAGTGAAAATACTCATTGGTCCGGAGAGAGGCACATTTTTGCAAACAACGACAAGCACATTTTGCATATCGATGTTGGCAGGCAGGTGGTGGTGCTGCAGCAGAAGCAGTGTGCACCCCCATGGCTTGAACATGTGCAATGTACATCAGACATGCAGTTCCTGTGGACACCCTGTTAAATGGCTTAGCTCAGTGAGCATCCCTCCTGGGGTATTCTGAGGGGTATGTGCATGTGTGACGGGGGTGCTACTCACTTTCAGCAGATCCCTGTGCCTCATTTCCTGACAACATGAGCTCTGTCATTTTCACTCCTCACCAATTCACAAAACCCTTGGAATTCCCCACCCCCCACAGCCTTTTCTTTCTTCACCACAAAGGTGCTCTCTTCCCAACCAAACCAAGAGCACCTTCTCCACCTACACTCCTGAGTCACTCCTCCTTCAGAGTCAGGTTCCCTCCATTATTCCCTCCCCTCTCCACAGACTGCCTTCTGCTGCCTGCCTTTACTATTAAACAGGAAGGCCCTGTGTTTTCCAGCCCTTCTTCTCTCTCCTTCACCAATTAGTTTCTGAAAACAGTAGCCAGCATTTGCTCCCTCTTCCTCACTCAGCACCCAGCACCTGCCCTGCTGCTCAGATTGCCTTGTGAAGACTTCCAGGACCTGGTAATCTTCTGTCGCCAGCCTCTGCTGCAGCTGTCACCAGGCCGCTACTCCATCTCCACTGGTGTTTCCCAGCTTGACCTCAAACTTCTAGTTCTCCCTCCCTCCCTGAAAGTGTCAGTGTGGGGCCCAGATTGCATCCAAAGGTGGATTTCTATTCCCCAGGCCCCTCTTCTAGAGCACTTTGTCACTCTGAAGGCTTAACCCCACCCTTTTAAGGAAAGATTATTCCTCACCCAGCTCTATTCTTGGCCACTTTGATTTGTGATATTTCAGTAGCCCCTTAGATACTTGTCCTAAGCCACTTCTTCCTCTGCACCCTCCACAACTGTTGCAGAAGTCCTCTGTTTCCCAGTCAGTCCCCATCTAGTCTATTCCCAGATCAAGGCTCTCCAGCCTTTTTCCTGGATCTCTGAATTATCCATTCTCTCCTTTCCTGCCCCAGGCCATCCATATTCTCTTTTCCACACTGTTGCAGAGGGTCTTCTTAATACATCACCTAGTCAACACTGCTTTCAGTAATAGCACAGTGGAAATAGTGTGGTCTTCGGAATCTGGCAGAGCAAGCTGCAGCTTTGAGGAAGAATAATACCTGGCAAGGAGCAAACACCAGGAAAGCAAATAAAACTGATTTGGGAAGCAAAATGGAGGCTCTGGCTTAATCACCATGATCAGAGCATATCAGTGATATTCTACTGTGAAGTGAGAACAGGATGAGCTGGATTTGTTGCAAACCCATTAGCCAGAGGCCTTTCTGTTCTCTCTCTTCTCTCTCTCTCTCTCTCTCTCTCTCTCTCTCTCTCTCTCTCTCTCTCTCTCTCTCTCTCAACATATATTTATTTAGTTGATGATAGAACTCCATTTTTCATTTACTTATATGTGGTGCTGCAAATCGAACCTAGTGCCTTACACATTCTAGGCAAGTGCTCTATCACTGAGATACAACCCCAACCCCTCAGTTCTCTCTTACTAAGGCAGATGACTTAGAACAGTTAGGCTGAGTTCTGAGTCTTCCAATAGTGAGGCTCTTGATCCTGGAGGATGGAGGCTGGTGGGTGGGGTTAAGCTAAGCCAAAATCAGGAAGGTCCCTCCTGATGCTGTTAGGACTCTGAGAGAGAGGTTGGGCATGTGATTCAACCTAGGAAAACTTACCCTACCTCCCAGTTTAACATAAAGCAAAGGATTAGATGCTAATCTAATGAAAGAAGTTATCTTTCACTAACCTAGTGAAATTGGGTGAGGTTGATTGTGGGGTTGGAGAACAATAGAC